CAAGCTTTATGGACTCCTCGAGTTCAAGAAATCAATCGGAATGCTACTCTGAAATCTGGCCAACATTTTAATCTACCCTTTATTTCCAAATGGGGATTATGGGATTGGGTGCCACGTAATGATAAAGATCTTGCTAAATATCGTGAGGACATCTTTGGAGGATGTAACTTTTATCATCAATGTTACAAAAGCAGAGTAATTTGGCCTGTGAAAGACGGGGGGTATTCTGGTAGTGCTCAAAGACGAGAAATTTGTTCAAAAGGACAATGTGAAGTTGTGGGGTTAGACCTCATAACGTCTACTAATGTGGAAATTAATTTCATTTTGAATCGTACTCACATGCTTACAATATGGGATTCGTTGGCCCAAGGGTGTATTTATCCCATAGTGTTGCCATGTGAAGGGTTTCTAAGGGATACTTCCTCGGGGACAACAAGATTCAAGGGAAATTATGTACGAGTATGGCATTCAGAAGATGAGAATGAATATTGTGAGACTGAACTAGAAACTGGGGAAATTGGAAGGTGTTTTTATCTTTCTGCGGAAAAGACAAACAAAGCTAAAACATGCCCAAATACAACTATTGCACCAGCTCATGGTATTTTGTTAGCAAAAGAAACCAAAACCTTGATAAATGAAGCCCACATGGTGCGGCAACGCATAAATTATAACTTGAAATCCCTTCTTACTGTTTTTGATCAGTCTTATTGTGGAAATTTCACACAAATAAGGGGTTGGTTGGAAAAAGAAGTTAAATATTATACCTCTGGAGATCCTCTGAGTAGTAAAAATCGTAAACCTCGAAGTATATGGGGAGACATAGCGGGGGTGTTTGGTTCTGTCAATTCAATTAGCAATACCGCTCAAATTAATCAACTAAGTGAGTACACTCAGTGGGTGGGAACAATGAGTGGGAAAGGACTCACTAAGGCCCTTCAAGGTACTCTACATATTATAGCAGCGGGTCAGCATCTTAATAATGCTGCAAAGGAATTGGCAGATGCATTAACAAAATCGTCTGATTTTGAGACGCATCGTGCGGCGTGTTTATTTTTAGCCCAGAATTTAAAGGATCAAATGGTAGAGGATATTCAGGTTATTCGAATGGGTCAAGTTCCTGAACGGATAGCGGAATCTTTGTTAATGGTTTTCGGTAATCAACTTAATTTGACTTCTGCTAAACATGTCCCGTTAGTTAAAATTGGCATTAATGAGAATTCGTTGTCAGGTTCTGGAACATTACCTTTGACTATGATATGGCCTCAATATGGGAAGCGCAATATTATGACAGTTAGGCGATTCCAATCAATGGGTGTTAGACAAGGAAATTCAGTAATTAGATTAGGAAGGAATGGATATTGGGCTGAAGGTGAAATGCCGATGATTTCTACCACAGACTGTTGTGTTGAGGAACATGAGTGGGTAATTTGCTCATGCTCTACAATGTTTAGTCTATCTCTTAATGGTTCTGCAGTTTGGGAAGTAGTTCCTTTAGATCAAGCCACAGGTGCATAGCAGGTGTCAGAAGCACAGTGGTGCATATTACATGATGGGAAAAGTGAAAATATGATATACGGAGGGAAGTTGTGTCCAATTCCTCCTGATCCATTTTGTCTTGAGATTCTCTATCCTCTTCACTTGGGTGGAATTCATGTTCCACATGTGCAATTGTTGCAGTTAGAGCCACAATGGTGGAATAATGATTTAGTAGAAGAAAGGAATTATGAACTCTTTGAAATGGTTAGAAGAGTTAAAAAGAGTGTTAAAGCAGCTCAAGAGGAGGGAATTCAAGCAATGGGTCATGTTATCGTAGCAAACGGAATAGCTAAATTGATGTCTGAGAGAAAATTAACACAAATTCCGGGAAATCTATCATGGTCGGAATGGATAGTTTTGACTATGGTAGGTGTTTTGCTGTTTCTATTAACAATACAACTCATCATATGTGTTACTAGAAGGAAGAGTACCAAACCTGTTAAGTTGAATATTATTAACCAAAAGGATAGAACCGAGAATGGGATATATGGAGTGAAATAGGAGATTTTACACATTCTACACTACGAAACACAACCTCACAAACAATGAACACCCGCTTACTGATTTACAACCCTAAGGGATAGGATCCTTTAACATCAACATTTATTTTTGTTTATTATTTTAGCACGGAACTGAAGGAGTTAATTACTTAACGAGTTCAGGCACGGGCAGAAGATTTATTACTTTTTCTTTTCTTAGATGATTGGGGTTCATTTTAAATGCTTACACATAGACGTTAAATTACACATAGCATGCGGGGACATAACATGGGTTGGGTTTTTCGTTTTCCTTTCTGTTTCTATACTTCTATCCTTTGTCTATTTCTTGGTCTGCTATTTCTTCTCCTCACTATCACTTCAATAGGTTGGCCACCTGGGGATGATGGTGTGGAACTGACGGCCGTAGTTCCAGTGGAGGGAGATGAAGACTAAAATTTCATCTTTGAATATAATTTCATTAATTAATATTATGTATCTGTATTATTATTCTTTATTTAGTATTCATAATAAGTTGTATTATCTTATGAAGTTTAAAATGCATGAGTAGACTATAGATTGCATGGACACATGTGTTTAAGGAACATATTTTAGACACAAGGAGGGTAGCTGGGAGGATTATGTATTCTGCTTAGAGGTATGTAATGTTCACTTAGCAGAGAGTTCCAATGATGAATATACTTCAAATGTGTACAGTTGGTATGCTCTTTGCAAGAAAATGAATGTTTCAACTGATGCAAATGTACCATTTGTATACCACTAATGTATACACTGAGAAATAGTTTCTTAATGTGGAAAGTGGATTGTACCATGTGCATATACATTTCATTTTAAGCATAAGCAATATGTTTTGTTACCTTACAAGGAAGCTGTAAGACTCTCTGTGATGTATAAAAACTCAATCTTACTGTACTACAGCAGAGAAACATGGAGGCATGACTGGGTGAGAGGAAGGAGAAACACGAAACGCATAGACCTGGCATGAATATAACATCTTCTCAGAGTTTCTCTCCTGACATATAAGAATAAAAATCTTTCTTGGCAAGATAACTGGTGTCTGGTCCCGTGAATTAAATAATAACGGGGAAAAGGCTTAATTCCAAGTCTACACCAACAGACTTTTTTTGGGATTTTTGGAAGGAGATTGAAGCTTCAACTTTAATTTCTACATGTCCATAATTTTGTATTAACCGTTTCTGTGTGAGTGAGGGCGGGACCTTGATATCGCGTTTTTACTTCCGGCTCACTACTTTGCAGACTCGGGTCCCGCGATCGCTACTGCGCAGACTCGGGTCCCGCGATCGCTACTGCGCAGACTCGGGTCCCGCGATCGCTACTGCGCAGACTCGGGTCCCGCGATCGCTACTGCGCAGACTCGGGTCCCGCGATCCCTACTGCGCAGACTCGGGTCCCGCGATCCCTACTGCGCAGACTCGGGTCCCGCGATCCCGACTGCGCAGACTCGATCGCTACTGCGCAGACTCGGGTCCCGCGATCGCTACTGCGCAGACTCGGGTCCCGCGATCGCTACTGCGCAGACTCGGGTCCCGCGATCGCTACTGCGCAGACTCTGGTCCCGCGATCGCTACTGCGCAGACTCTGGTCCCGCGATCGCTACTGCGCAGACTCTGGTCCCGCGATCGCTACTGCGCAGACTCTGGTCCCGCGATCGCTACTGCGCAGACTCGGGTCCCGCGATCGCTACTGCGCAGACTCGGGTCCCGCGATCGCTACTGCGCAGACTCGGGTCCCGCGATCGCTCCTGCGCAGACTCGGGTCCCGCGATCGCTACTGCGCAGACTCGGGTCTCGCGATCACTACTGCGCAGACTCGGGTCCCGCGATCACTACTGCGCAGACTCGGGTCCCGCGATCGCTACTGCGCAGACTCTGGTCCCGCGATCGCTACTGCGCAGACTCGGGTCCCGCGATCGCTACTGCGCAGACTCGGGTCCCGCGATCGCTACTGCGCAGACTCGGGTCCCGCGATCGCTCCTGCGCAGACTCGGGTCCCGCGATCACTACTGCGCAGACTCGGGTCCCGCGATCACTACTGCGCAGACTCGGGTACCGCGATCACTACTGCGCAGACTCGGGTACCGCGATCACTACTGCGCAGAAATAGGTCTCAAATCTGCGCAAGATGTCAGCGCCATATTAGGACTTTGGCGGCTTCACTTTTCACCAGTGGAAGAGAGTGAGGGGGCGTCGTCCATCTTTTTTTACAGTCTATGGCACCCACCAGTTGTTGAGAGGAAAACATCAGCCATTGATGTATTGTATTTAAAAATTACCCTTTAAAGGTACACTGTGTAATGTTTTGCCCTCTAGCGGGATAGAAAAAAAACTGCAAGCATTTTGCAGAAGAACATTGTTTTGGTAGTGCTTTGGCTCTGTGTGACTGTGCGGATGAACATGACCCTTCACAATAGATAATGCTTTACTCTGTTAGAGAGCTACAATTCACCTGTTCAATAAAATACCGCCATCATCTTTGTGTCACTTTTACAACATTTCAAATCCCTCAGTTCTCACGATGTCTGAAAAGCCAAGCCAATGTTGATTCTTGTTTTATTACGAGGTCTGTCGCGCTCTCTTTTTGCCAGCAGACTCTCCTCTGTTCTGCATTTGTTTAAAACGGGTGTTTCCCCCGAGGATCAGAATTTAGCTGCTCTATGTCAACCTTTCTTGCCAGAGCAGCTTTTCTCTATTTACGGATATGACAAGACACGCACAGGCGAGTGACGCATGTACGCAATTTCGAGTGAAAACCATATCAACAGGTCTAAAATATATAATGAATCAGGGTAAGACAAAAACATATTTTGGAAAAATATGTATTGACTTATTATTTCAATTTTGTTAAATTCGAAACGAAACGAAAAAATTACACAGTGACTTTTAATCTCGAATTCTTAACTTTTCACAACTGAACAAATCTTTAATTTTCTTAATTAAAAGGCCATACCTGGTGAGAAAATTCCATCGCCCTCTCCATTTGGCCAGCCAATAATCTCTCGCATTTTCTTCAGGGTGAGCTGTTCCATCAGTACAAACACTGGTGCAATCTCATATGTGAACCTGTAAACACACACACACACACACACCATTTCTACTTGTCCCACATTAATGAGTGTCTTGACAGCAGGAGGTAATTCACTAACTATACTGTATTTATGTAAGTCTGTTCAATCCATCACAGAATCATTCTGAGGCATCTTCAGCCTTTTAGCACCAGTCAATAATCCTCCGCAGTGATTAGTAATGATGAGCAGCTCATTAGTACATGCAAATGTCAAGTGCTCATGCAGTTCTGTCTAATCAATATAAACAGTTCTGACATATAATTTACTGACAGCAGGAACATGTGCAAACATGAAAAGTGAAGTCATATGCTACGGGAGACCGGGGCTAGTTGTCACATGGGGAAATTGACACAAGGATGTATATCTCATGCTGACTTCAAGTGTTTTATGGAATTATCGTAAATTTTCCTAGTTAAAAAATAGGACATGAACGACTTCTCAAGTCAAAAACTCACGACTTCAAAAGTAGGACATTTTCGATAGCACGTAAAGGCAGCATTAGTAACAGTGAGGTTTATTTGTCAAGTCAAGTCAAATATATTTATATAGCGCTTTTCACAATACAGATTGTATCAAAGCTGCTTCACAGTATCAATCAAAACAAATTAACAGTGTTCCAAGTTTGGTAGAGCTGATCAGTGGTATGATGGGTCATTTAATTTGAATATCCCCAACTGAGCAAGCCAAAGGCAACAGTGGCAAGGAACCGAAAAACTCCAAGTGACCCGATGGTGTCCTTAAACTCCATCAGATGACCCAATGGAGAAAAAAAAAAAACTTGGGAGAACCCAGGCTCAGTCGGGGCCAGTTCTCCTCTGGCGTTTATGAAGTAGAGGCCGAATTTACAGTAACTGTGAGGTTAAAAATTTTATATGAATGCCTGGCTAAATAGATGCGTCTTTAGTCTAGTTTTAAACTGGGAGAACGAGTCTGAGCAACGAACAATATCAGGAAGGCTATTCCAGAGCTTCGGAGCTAAATGTGAAAATGCTCTCCCTCCTTTGGTGGATCTGGATATCCTAGGAATAACCAGAAGCCTCGAATTTAGTGATCTTAAAGAGCGCGATGGATTATAGGGCGATAAAAGATCCGTTAAATAGACTGGAGCTAAATCATTCAGAGCTTTATAAGTCAAAAGCAAGACCTTGTAATTAATATGGAACTTTATAGGTAACCAATGAAGTGACGATAAAATCGGTGTTATATGATCATATTTTCTTGATCTAGTAAGAACTCTAGCGGCTGCATTTTGGACTAACTGTAGCTTGTTTATTGAGGATGCAGGACAACCAGCTAATAAAGCATTACAGTAATCTAGTCTCGAGGTCATGAATGCATGAACTAACTTTTCTGCATCAGAGACTGATAGCATATAGCTTAGCAATGTTTCTAAGGTGGAAAAAGGCTGTTTTTGTAATATATGAAATATGCTTTTCAAAAGACAGGTTGCAGTCTAATGTAACACCCAGGTCTTTTACTGTAGCGGATAAAGTAACAGGGCATCCTAATATGTTAAAGTCGTGCTGTGAAAGGTTTTGAGAACCGATAAGTATTACCTCTGTCTTGTCTGGATTTAATAAAAGAAAATTACGCGTCATCCAATCCTTTATATCTTTAACACAATCTGTCAATTTGGATAATTTGGCGTATTCATCTGGCCGTGATGAAATATATATTTGAGTGTCATCAGCATAACAATGGAAACTATTTCCGCTTTTCCTTAGAATATTACCAAGTGGCAGCATATATATTGAGAATAATAAAGGGCCTAACACAGATCCCTGCGGCACTCCATAGTTTGCCGAAGTTATGATCGATTTTTCTCCATTTAAGTAGACGAAATGGTAGCGGTCAGATAAGTATGACCTGAACCAGCTTAATGCTTGTCCATGAACACCAATGTAATTTTGTAGTCGATCTAAGAGTATTTTGTGATCTATAGTATCGAACGCAGCACTAAGATCAAGTAAAACTAGAACTGAGATACAGCCTTGGTCCGAAGCTAAAAGTAAATCATTTGTGATTCTAACAAGCGCAGTTTCAGTGCTATGATGTGGCCTGAATCCAGACTGAAACTTTTCATATGTCGTTTTCTTGCAAGAAAGAGCCGAGTTGAGCGGACACAACTTTTTCTAATATTTTTGACATGAATGGAAGATTTGAGATGGGTCTGTAATTTGCTAGGTTATTTGGATCTAATTGTGGTTTCTTAATAAGAGGTTTTATAACTGCCAGCTTTCTTGGAACATGACCTAAAGATAAAGATGAGTTAATAATATTGAGAAGAGGCTCTTCCACTATAGGTAACCCTTCTTTCAATAGTTTAGTTGGTATAGGATCTAATAAACATGTTGTGCTTTTAGATGAAGGGATAAGTTTAACTCTTTTTGTTCTATGGTTGTAAAGCATTGTAATTGTTCTTGCGGGGTGACAATTGCGGCTGAATTATAAGGCGCGAGCAAGGATTGAGCGTTTACGATTGTGATTCTGATGCCTTAAATTTTCTCGGTGAAGAAGTTCATGAAATCATTACTACTAAACTGTAACGAGGTATTTTGTTCAGACGACGTCTGTTTATTTGTTAGTCTAGCCACAGTATTAAATAAAAACCTCGGATTATTTCGGTTGTTTTCTATTAGTTTGCTGAGCTGCTCAGCCCTGGCCGTTTTAAGGGCCTTTTTATAACATGACATACTGTCTTTCCACGCGATTCTAAATACCTCTAAATTAGATTTTTTCCATTTACGCTCAAAATTACGGGTTTCTCTCTTTAAAACATACGCAGTATTATTGTACCATGGTGCTATACTTTTTTCTCTGACCTTTTTTAATCTAATAAACTAGAATTCGTCTAGTTCATCTGTTTGTTTGGGTTCAGGCAGCAGCTGAGTCAGATCAGATAAGCTATTTGAGAAATGATCTATGGTGGATGGAAGAATTGTTCTACCTGGTCGATAACGTGGCGCAGCATGACATATTACGGAAGTGCGTAATATGCAAGTTACCATGTAATGGTGCGTGACATCATCACTTTGTGGAATGATATCTATATCGGTTGGATCAGTTTCATATGATATAATTAAATCGAGTGTATGATTAAGACGATGAGTTGGTCCGGTGACGTTTTGCTTGAGCCCGAAGGAGTTTAATAAATCTGTGAACGCAGTCCCTAACGCATCATTTGAATTATCTACGTGTATGTTAAAATCTCCAACAATTAATGCTTTATCGACGTTGACCAATAGATCTGATAGAAAGTCTGCAAACTCTTTTAGGAAATCGGTGTAAGGCCCTGGAGGTCTATATACGGTAGCCAATGCTAGAGATAATAGGGATTTTTTTCTTACATCTAAGAGCGTAACATTTAGCACAAGTACTTCAAACGAATTAAACCTATGACGAGTTTTCTGAGTAACATTAAGGATATCTCTGTAGATTGTTGCAACACCGCCGCCACGACTGATCAGACGGGGCTCATGCTTATAACAGTATCCTGGCGGAGTAGACTCATTTAGACCGAAATAATCATTTGGTTTAAGCCAAGTTTCAGTAAGGCACAGAACATCGAAATTATTATCTGTGACCATTTCATTTACAATAACCGCCTTAGGTGTGAGCAATCTAATGTTTAGAAGACCTAGCTTTAGAAATTGTTTTTGTTCACTAATAGCGAGATTTTTAGTTTTAATAACAATTAGATTATTTCTTGATCCCGAGGTAGATTTATTATTTGATCTCAGTAAACGAGGAATAGACACAGTTTCTATGCAATGTTCTACACTAGTATTAATATCAATTAAATTGGTGCAGTAGAGACTGTGATTTGGATTTTTGGTTACTAGTCAAACGGTATTTAACATCTTGGAGATGTTATCCGACAGAAGATCTGCCCCGAGTCAAAAGTGCAATCCTCTAGCAGGTTTTTTTTTCTTCTTGGATTTGTCATTTTTTGTGCCATCCTTTTGGTATAAACTCCATATTAAATTTTGGTTTTGTAAAAGCGGTTTTAAAGGTAGATTATATATGTCAACTTTTATGCGTTAACGCTGCTTGAACAGACTTTTGTGCTTAAACGGACAAAAACAAAATGATGTCAAAATTCCCAATTTGTCGAGTATCCTCATAAGCACAGTCTTAAATGAGCTAAAAAGTGTTAAATGAACATAAAGAGTTGAGAGAAAATAGGATGTGTGTCAGATCCGCGTCATGTAAAGTGACAGCCGCTTAATAAACCTACTGCTGTCTGTCATAAATGTTAATCAAAGAACAAAAGGCGTTTCTCAAATAAACAAGTACGCAAAGTTCGGATTTGAGTCCTTGGTAATTCAGACTTGCCAGTAATTCTATATAATGGAACATTTATTAATTTAGCTGACGCTTTTATCCAAAGCGACTTACAATTGCTATATATGTCAGAGGTCGCACGCCTCTGGAGAAACTAGGGGTTATGTGTCTTGCTCAGGGACACATTGGTGTCTCACAGTGGATTCGAATCCGGGTCTCTCACACCAAAGGCATGTGTCTTACCCACTGCGCCATCACCACCACCTGTGGTGTTCTTGATAGCGTCACTCAGCTCTCTCTCTGACTACTCCGGTTTCCTAATTTTAAGCAACAATAAAACTAAATATGTTATAAAACACCACTCTGCCTCTTTTCGTTTACTTCTTTACTAGAGAAAAATCCATTTAATAGGGACATCAGTAGCAGACTGGTATCAGTGATACTGGCCTTCATTCATAGTGCTTAGTAAAAAGATGCCATTAAACAAATATTTAAAATATACTACATATATTTATGTTGTTTTTACACATGATTTTGGAGATTAAATGTGAAAGTATAACAATATAAAAATATATTAAAACCTTTAATGTTAGGTGTGATTAATATATATACACTCACCGGCCACTTTATTAGGTACACCTGTCCAACTGCTCGTTAACACTTAATTTCTAAGCAGCCAATCACATGGCGGCAACTCAGTGCATTTAGGCA